TTTTTTTTTTTTTTTTTTTTTTTTGTATGAAAAGATATATTTTTTAAAAAGCCAAACTGCTTCATTCTTAAAAAAAAGGTTTCACATATCCTGTCTAGAAAGATGATGCAAAAGCCTAGTGGCGTTACGTTCAGAAACCAAAAGAATGACCTTGACAGGCTGTCAGGGTTTGTTGAAATGATCCATTTGGCAGAAGTTCCTTGTCTGTTTTTGGCTTTAAGTCATCTTAGGCAATAGGTCCTGGTTAAATCTTCATTCTCTCATTTGAAGAGAGAAGTCTCTTTCACATCTACTCTGTCTGCTTCTTCTCAACATAGCAGTCCTATTTACTCACAGTTGTTGCAGAATACTGCTGCCTTAAGGATGCGCAAAATAATGACATACAAGCAATGAAAGGATCACATGGCCAGTGTCAAATAAACATCCCAGAATGAAAAGACCAGTGCTACATAATGCTTCGATGTCTTCCAGTCTGGCTTCCCTGCTCAGCACAGTAGAGAGAACGCCCTTCAGGGTGTTTGATGACAACCATATAATGTCTCCTATGAAGGAACCACAATGCTGATATTATTGGACCTTAGAGCAGCATTCAACACTGTTCATCAGTCCATTTCACTAGAGCACCAGGATAACTGGGCCGGCCTTTCTGATACAGTACTTAACTGGTTTAACTCCTTGAAGGACAGGACCTCTTTGTGTCAGTAGGTAAGTTTTCATCAGAGACAACAAAACCACATGTGGCGCTCCACAGCGCTGTTTAATATCTACATGCTAACCTTAAAGGGGAACTCCATTTTTTTTACACTGGGCCCTTGATTTTACGTTATTACATCATGTTCTACTCACCCATATGAGTTTTGTGTCATTTGCAGCTGTTCTGAAGATTCCCTTAGGTTATATCCAAGTAACGTCTTCCTGTGGGCAACGACTTGAAGGCACAAGCTGAACTGTTCATAATTTATCATTTATGGTACGCAGGCATTCATAACATGTAGGAGAATCACTGTTCCCCAGACATCCGTGTTTTTTTTTATTTATATTTATATTATTATTATTATTATATATGGGTGAGTAGAACATGATGTAATAACGTAAAATCAAGGGGCCAATGTAAAAAAAAACGGAGTTCCCCTTTAACTTAGATTATAATAAACAGCAACTTCAGTTACCCAAACTATGCAGATGACACACACCTCTATGTTACATGTAACCAGGTGACCATATGGACCCATTCAAGTCTTAGGTAAATGCATAAAAGAAACTGATGCATCAAAATATTCTTAATCTAAATTAAAACGGAACTAAAGTATTACTTTTTTCGCATGCTCCACTAATATGGAAAAAAACCCCCAGAAAACTGTAAAGAAGCTTTAGTCTTAAAAAAAAAAAAAACATTTGTTTAGAGTGACCTTTGACTGTGCTATGTAAAGTTATTAGTTAAAATGTGTAGTCCAACTTTCATTCATTTTATTATGTTATTAAATATTTTATCATTTAATTAATCATTTTTATTCCTTAATTATCTAATTACCTCTAAGCCACTGCAATGGACTTTTCTCTGTTTTCCTTTTATGTTTTTTTATGTACAACACTTTGAATTATCTTGCTAATGAAATATGCTTGATAAATAATCTTTCCTTCCCTAAGGAAAGAAAGCATGCTAACCAGACAGTGGGTGTTTTTGTTTTTTTTTTTGCACTATGATGTCGCTGCTCATGTTTGTGTGTCCATTCTAGTATTAAGGGAAACAATATTTTGTATAAATCTGGACAATAGACACTAAGGACACAAGAGCAAGGGAGAGAGAGAGAGAGAGAAAGAGAGAGAGAGAGGGAGACAGTGAGAGATGAAATCATTCAGTGCTCTCAGTGGATCAGGATCAGGTCATGGCCCGGGCAGGGAAGGTAAAGTTGGGAGCCAAGAGGCCTTTGGCAGTCTCATTTTGGCCCCACAGTTTGTACCTCTGTACTGAGACTAAGCAGTTTTATCAAATAGAGTTACCTGTAGCCGAAACACCATCCTCCTGGCTTCTTGCATCTCCTTTTCCAGCTGCTCCTGGTGGGCATCCAGCTGCTCCTCCCAGGACTTTTCTTCCTCCTGCCCATTATGCCCAAGCATGGGACACAATCCACAGAGTGACACATTCTCTGATAGGAAGAGAAAGGGATAATCGGTTTAACTGTTTTTTGTGCATGATGCATGATATTTGGCTCTACAAAAGTTAATGTGTAAAGGACCAACCTGGGACAGATTTCCTCTCTAACGGCTCAGATTTGTCTTCCTGATTTTCCCCCTGGTTATCAGGCTGATGTGGGACTACTTCCGTAGGGGCCTCAGCGGACTGGGCGATAACATATTCCTCTTTGGGAGAGTGGGCAGGGCTGGCAGAGCTAAGGCTGAAACAAACGGTAAGGACGTGCAGGAGGGAATGAATGGATCAGGCAAACCAACAACAGTAAATAACTGCGCTTTATATTTACTACCTACAGGTTGAGAATGAAATCATGAAATTATCTCCATCCTGGAAAAATCTGTTTATTTATAAATGTAATATGACCATAAAAGACTAAATGCTGTCTTGCAAAGGTATACTATCTGCCCTCTAATTTTACTTGTTCAGTTTTTACATTGCATGTACAAACCTCCTCTACTTTAATCCCCTAAATCAAATTCAATTGTCATCTAATTTGTAAATAGAGGCCTTTTGGGGCGGGGTAATCTCATTATAATTTAAGCATTAGGAACTCAGCAGCCAAATTCATTATCTAAACTGGTAAACCATTATCCCATAGATTAAAAAATAAATAAATAAATAATGATAATATTTAAACATTCATAAAACGAAACCATTAAAAGCCCCATCCCAATTTACACTAAAATAGAAACCATTGGGTATAGATGTGTTGCTGTTGTTGTTTTATTAAAGAAACTCAAAAACAGGGAACTTAAGATGTCTAATATTTACAAGCAACATCCAGAGTTAAGGAGCCAAAATAGAAACCCCGCCCAAACACCAAACGTCATGAAGATGTTGGTTTTAGGCTCAATCTGGTCATCCTTGTCCGTCACAGTCTTGATTTAGTCCAGAAATAGTTTTTGAAAAGTGTGCTGTGTTTGGTTGGCCTTATTTTGTCCCACTTCAGTCTAATAAAAGATATTGAAATTCCAGTTTCAAATGTCTTTTCAATTAGCTGAAAATTACAGCTGTTCACCTTTCACTTTTCAGCCAAATGTAGACGCTTTTTGGACATAAATTTTGTCATATTTTTAATGTCTGTTCAACCAATTATTGCTCAGAGGGAAAAGCTTCATCTCCTCTGATATTCTGCCTCATTTTTTTGGAACAACTAATATCCTGGTTGGCTGATCCAAAGGCCCCTGCAGAAACAAGGAAAAACAGGTCTAAACTCAGCACTGAAAACCCATTATAAAAAAGCCATCTGAATTTGACACCCTGCTGCTGGGAAGAAAAAAAATGTTAAAAAGAAGAAAAAAATGTGGCTTAGCTGTGGGATAAAGCTTTACAGAGAAACCAAGGAATGCCTCGAGGGATTCTATTTTCACAGTTAAAAATGCTTCTTCCCATCAATATACAGCTAGATTTAGACCTCAGTTGACCAGACTTTATGCCTATCTGCAGGCATTACTTAACATAAGCAAACATCACAACAGAGAACAAACATTTGTCACTTTAGAGTTCACGCTGCTCCAGCATAGACTAACCCAGCACATTCCTGTGATATCTTCAGCTAAACTGGAAACATGCCTAAAGGAATCAGCAGCAGCATGAGAAACTGAACAAAGAAGCCGCTGAGAGGTTAATGCTCAGGTTTTAAACAGATTCGCATGTAGGCAAAGAGCAGAGGTTAAATATATAATGTCCTCGTTGATCATAAGTGCTCCTTGTGTTTTTGCCTTGGTAATAAAAAACATTTATATCAATCATATCCATTTATTAACAAACAATCATTAAAAAAATTAAAAGCACAACAGTATTCAGTCATTGAGGGTCATTGGGGATTTAATATTGGAAATACAAATTGAAAGGGGTGTCCTAGGAACATAATGATCCATAACACATCATTGCTTGGATTGGGATGAATAAAAGCCAGTAAACATTAAACTTCTCGGCGAATTCCCTGACCTCAGACACATTGGATGGTTCAAGCTACTAACTAGTGACAAGTTTAATTATACAACCAGAATTATTAAAGGTATAATGGAGGATTTTTGCAAATTTTTTAAAAGACTTGCCCTTTCCACAACAAAAATAAAAAATGCACATGCACATCCCTGTACCCACTCCCGAGAGGAAATGCATACAGGAGCCCATTTCTCCTCGTGCACGCTCTGTTTAAAAACTGCTGTTTGCATCGCTTATACAGGCTAACTTTACAAAAGAAGATATGCAATTTTGCCACTAGCTAGTCTCACCACTGGTAAGTGAAACTGGGGACAAGCAAGTAGGATGGCCCTACATAAACATATCACCACAATGATTGACAGTTACGAGGACCACTTATTTTGATGATCCACCTGGAAAAAGAACATCCACCACCACAACTTTAAGTTTTTAATGAATGAAATGTAAACAATTAAGCAGAAATGTTGGTTTTCATTCTGTCTAAGCTGTTTAAAACAAACTGAACAGACTTTATGCCAAAATCTTAGTTTGTCATTATAAAATGTCAGAAGGAGCCTCTGCAACAATTTGTGATTCTCAGTCCAGTTCCTTCTTTTAGAGAAAATGACACCTTCTGTGAGAATTCTGTGTAGTATTGTTGTAATTATATTATACTTGCGTTGCCTCCTACGGTAAAACAAATCCGTCAATAACCAGGATGTCTGATTCTTTTCTCCTTCATGTTCCTTCTCAGAGACATTACTTGAGGTCACATAAAAACAGGAAGTGAGCATCTTATCAGATGCCACTTTAATTATCCCTAAGTGTTTTTCGAAGCGGATCAAGGAACTGTTGGCCCCTGCAAGCTCTCTGACTGCATGTAAAAAACGCTTTCAGAATCGCCTCTATTACTCCAAAAGCAGTGGGTTTAAAAATTATTTTCTGTGCTCAGCTTTGACACAAAAACACAAACAGAGCAAATACCATTTCAAACGGGAACATATGGGTTGAGCCAAAGATTAGGCACTGCATGGGATTTGCAGAGGATGAGCTTTAGTACCAACAGATTAATAGAACATAATAAGCTGAGGGGGAAATTACTGAGCTTGCATATTTGTTCATCACCATGTTAATATGCAGCTAAAAGTGCTTTATTGCCTATATAATAACATTTTATGGAGTTCACAGCCGCTCTTAACATTTTTATAGTAATACATATGTTACTATAATTATTAAGGAAATGTTGGTAAGCCTAATTTAAACTTAACTTTTATTTTTACTTATATTACATTTGATTTACACTTTCAAAGTATTTTTTAAATCAAAGAAGTCAGTAAACTCTCATTAATATTGTCTTGCAATAGGATTTTTATTCATAAAACTTTTGTCACATCTCATCATTTAGAAACCATAATCTTACTTAACATCTTAGAAATACCAGAAGTACAGCATGCATGCATTATAATCTCAATGTAAATACAGCTGTTCTGTGAGCCCTCAACGTTATTGAAATTGAACTACAGCATGAACACTACAGAACACCCAAGACATGTAAAGTATACGGATAAAGGAGGTTGGCACAATTGAAATATACCAACGCATGCACTTTCACCTAAACTGAAACGCCAGGTAGGAAGAGCATTAATAAGAGGCTAATGGTAGCCCTGTATGCAGAGACCTGCAGCTGAACTGGAAGATACTGTGAAAAAAAACAACACTTAGTTGTCCACAAAAATCAAGCCAATGTGAAATAATGACAAGAAAAAAGCCAACAGAAACCTTCTTTGTAGCTTACTCCCAGAAAAAAAGTGGCAGAAGATGCTCTGATCCACAGGTGTAACTTTCTAAAGGACTGGTGGGGACATGCCCACACCAATAATTTCAATACATAGCTTTTGGCAATATGTGGGGCAAATGTCTCAATTACATTTTTCTGCTTTTGAAAAAGGATAATCACTAATTTAGCTGAAAGGAAAAATGTCCATCAATCAATCCACATTTTTCTGGATGGATTGATGGATGCCTGAATGAAGCTGAAATTGTGTACATAGTAGGGAGGCGTTATATATTGCTGTTGGCATCGGAAACGGTTGTTATTCATCCTTTTTTTATATACGTGAATGTCTATCTATAAATATAAATATCAGTGTATTTTGATTATTTTGTCATCTCAACAATAGGAAAGCATTCAATAAATATATGTTTTAGCTTATTTTTGGAAAATACAAAGCCTATTGAAAGGCTTTGTGTAGAATAACTGTAGGTCCATCAGCCATCATCCTAAGAGTGTCCCCACCAACTTTCACCGCAAAGCTATACTCTTGCGCTGATCAGATAAGACTAAAGTGTAATTATTGGCCTAACGTCAAAATGCAATCAGTGAATTAAAGTGAACGTTGCATCTCACCTGGAAGACAGTGTGAAACATGGTAGTGCCAGCATCATGCTGTAGGATGGCTAGTGGTCAACAGAAAGACACCAGAGGTGATAGGAAAATGGACAGAGCTAAATCCTGGGACAAAAGCTGTTTAAGGGAGCAAACATTTGACAGCAAACTTTTTCCTCACTGGTCAGAGGAAATGTCTAGTTTAAAGCATTTCTGTTTATAGAATAAACCACTCAGTGTCCATCAAATTGAGAGTTTCTGTGTAACCTAGGAGATTGAAGTCCAGATATCACCTCTATTCAGTATCTGGCTATTTTTGCAATGAGCAAAAGTTTCAATCTTCAGATAAGAAAAAAAGGGGGTAAAAATATATATATAAAAAACACTTTATTAAATGTTATAAAACGTGGTTTAACAAAGCATCCTTCTGCTTTACAGTTCAGTGCATCATGCTGGTTTATCATATGACATGTAATAAAATACTTTAAAAAAAACAGAACAGCAATACACTTTAAAGTATGAAAGCAATGCACTGTAGCAGTAGTTTTATTATAAAACATCTAGCGTGGTCAGGTCTGCTTTAGTGGTTGCTAAGCAATGAAGGCTCATCTCCTGCAGACACATAGAGGGACACACCCACGTCCACTGCAATGTAAACATGCAGCAATTCTCTGGGTTTCTCTGGGTTATAAACGCTTGCATTTGTGATAAAAATCAGTTATTATGAGTTGCCTATAATTAAAATCCACATGCAATTCCAGAGAGTGGGTTGTTCTGGATGCAGGCCTGGTTCTGTGTATTTCTGTCTCTCATGCACACGCGCCTTGTTGATAACAATAGCAGCCTGTAGGCTGCTGGCGTTTAATGTTTAGAATAATCACAATGTTAAAAAGAAATAGCGCGTCCTACCATTTCATCTGCTTTGCTCCCATGCTGCTGTTTTTGTTGCCTTTACCCTCCCACACAGTCGGAGTTGTTCATCTGGGTGATGCCCCGGTTCTCAGGCAGGACCATAGCCCAAACACAGCCGGCGGCTGCAGGGAAGGGAGCAGGCGCTGCAGGAGTCTCCGCGTCGCACACTGTGTTCAATCAGAAATAACAGCACGGTCAAATCCACTCTTACAGCATTAAAGTTGCAAATCCGAATCAAAAGCCCCAAACCCATTTCCCTAGACCATACCGAGGCTCGGTTCAAGCTGGCACGGAGAGAGATGGAGCGGAGAGAGGGGACTGCTTCTCAGCAGCAGCGATGACTAAAGTCTGCCTGATTTCTCATTGCTCTCACCAGCTCCCTTTCACCAACACAGTGCGTTATTGTTCCTTGTGCATCTTTTACACTGTGGTGTTTTTTTGTTGTTTTTTTTTTCCTGCCTTTTTTGCATCTATGCTCTCATGCTTTTCCTCTCTCCCTCCCTCTTCTGTTTCCCTTCTGTTGGCCTAATCAGTTCTTTCTGCCAGACGTGGCTCTAGCTGTCTGGGTGTGTTTACCCTCCCCCCTTTTCCTCCTCTAGTTTTTTCTCTGCTGCTCTCTGTCTTTCACTAAAAGTAAAAGAAGAGTTTTGGTACTTCTCTCTATCTTTCTTCATACCTCCAAAAGGCTTTTGTGGAAGGTACCTGCAACCATCTTCATGTTTTAGGGGCTTCACAAAGATGTGCCACTGTATCCCATTAGATTGTAAACCAACCAAATAGGTCTAATGTATTTTATAGGTTCAATTGAAAATAATCATTATGAAATATGCATAGTTTGGGCTGCAAGGTGACAAAGAGTCCAAGTTTGGAACATCTAAAATCAACTCCCTGTTTATAGTTTCTGTACGGTCTCCAGGTGCATGCATGGGTTCTCTCTTGGTACACCAACTTACTCCAACTGTCAAGTAAAGTGACCATTTGGTTAACTGGTGACTCTTTAGATGTGGACTTTAGGTACAGTATAAGCGTGTGTGCATTAGTGTCCCTCCAATGTACTGACATTTTTTCCAAGGTGTACCTCAGCTTTCGCCCTTAGTCTGCTATACTGAAGTATAATTATAATTAAATTATCCAAGGAGTTAGATATGTTTCAAGAGTTTTACTTTATTTAGGTGATCATGGAATGCAGCTAATGATAAGCCAAATTTGGATATAAATTGTTTCGCAGAACTGTGTGTAAAGGGAGAGAGAGAGAGAGAGATGGACTGCCCATTTCATGTTGGTGTTATAATCTACACAATGATGGGGATCACAATGTATCACAATCTACAAGGAGATTTATCTGCAGAAGGCCATTGCTGGAGAAGCTGGAAGTTCAAATAGTTCTAAAGCTAAGCTCACACATGGGAATTTAAAGGTATAACTTTTGAAAAAAAAAAAAAATGCACATGCATAACCCTGTACCCACTCCCGAGGAGGAACGCCTAATAAACGCATATGAGAGCGTGCATGAGCCAATTTCACCTCATACACGCACTGTTTAGAAGTTGCTGTTTGCATTGCTCATACAAGCTTACTTTCCAAAAGAAGATTTGCAAATTTTTCCACTAGTTAGACTCACCAGCGCTAAGTAGAAATAAGGATGAGCACGTAGGATAGCCTTACATAAACATACCACCAGAATCATTGACAATTAGTCATTCTTAACAACATTTCTTTTTGTTTACACTTGTGTATACAAAATAATAAAATAAAATCTGTCTAAATTAGGAGGACCACTTATTTTGATGATCCTCCCGGAAATAGAACATCCTCCACTATACCTTTAAGTGGAAGGAAAAACAGTGGCCAGCAAATTAGACTATGCCAAACCCCATATGCAGTCTGTGGGGTAATGTTAAGCTGAAGATAAGAGACAGCAGACCCATCTATGTAGAGCAATTAAGAATCCTGGGTTTGAGTTCAGTGAGTATCATATAATGGGCATAGTCGAGGTCTTCTCCAATATTATTGGGCCCATCTTAAGACCTTATGGATAAGAAGTATAAGAGGGCTTCTGTTATTTTCAGTCATCAATTATATGTAATTAAATCATATATTAGGAAAGGAATCCTAAATCATGCCTCTCTAGACAGTGCTAAGCTCCATGTCATAAAACAAAACAATATAAAGACTTTTTGCATTTTTTTCCCAACTTTTAAGCTACTGAATGTTGTGAGGGCATGTGTTTTAAACTTTTTATTCAATGAGTTTAGTGTGTTTTTTCAGTTAGCAACAAGCACCATACTGTTGCAATATAATGCAGAATTTGTTAATCTATTTTGTATTATTTTGCACTTTATTTTACTTTTTCTACAATTGTCTTCATTGCATTAATGAACAAAGCTAACTGCAGAACTGAAACGCCCTCTGTTAACACTGATATTTTCTGAGCTAAGCTCCAAAACTTTTAAATAGAAGATAAAGACTTTAAAGCATCCCTCTAAATGGAGTTTTAATTTTGGAATTGAATTGAAATACTTGTTGTCTACAGCTTCTCTGGCAATGAACCTCCTCTATAGATCCTCTGGGGGAAGCCTGTGGCGCTGAAGGTACAGAAGTCCATCCCATTTTTCCTGGGTCACCCGTTAGCCTCCTCCCAGTGGGAATCTTTGGAATTAAATCAGTGACATTAAAAACTTATTTTAAATATTCCATATATATATAAAATTCCCTGTGCTTTTTTAATTTTGACTTACATGTATGAAAAAAAGTTAAAAAAACAAACAAAATGTCAGAAATAGCGTTGACTTCAAGGCTTTATAGAGTGGACCAAAACAAAGCCTTATTTCGGCTTAGAAACACTATTTCTGACATTTTGAATTGAAAAAGCTTCCTGGATGGGAGGCTAAAAGTCTTCAAACTTGGACACAAAGTCCAGTGGATTGTTTATTTATTTATTTTTTTTTACTTTTTTTTGACTGACTATGACCTGAATGACTGAGAATCTTCACCAGCATTCGTATATGATCATCATTTTTTTTTTTATTTTAAAGCTCTAGCTCTTTTAGCTCTATTCTATTTTAAAGGAATCATGCTGTTTTGTTTGTCATGAGCTGGGGTTCTTGGTGGGTGTTGAGAGAGGTTGGAAGTGATCGACAAGCCTATTTAAGTAGAAGGCCCCCGAAGCATAAAAAATCACAAACATCTTCAAGCCTGTCTGGCAAGAAGCGGTAAAAATATGTCTAAGCTCTTCTGCACTTCTTCTCTCTTTTGGGGGTGAAAAACACAACATAGAAATCAAGAGTCCTTTAGCTCTCAATCTTTGCAATAAGATGAGTTAATAACATATTTACAACAACGAGGAAGGTAGTAAAAAAAACTGTATATTTAGCCTTTAGAGCGGACACCCCAACCTGCAATCACAGCTCCTCTTACTCCCATAAAAAAAAAAACACGGACTCTGATTCCAAACATCAAACTAAATTAAAAGCTAAAAATCGAAAACCTCTTATTATAAATGTCAGTGAGAGCTCACAGAAACAAAAGATTCACATATATGCATGTGCATTTTATGTTAATCACCCCTCTGAAAGGCTTTTGGACCATGGGAACACTGACATTAAATTGTTAAAATGTTGCTGGTGTCATCAACTAAACTGTGAAGCTGCTCTTTATGTCGCAGCTTGCGCTTCTGTCCAGAGCCAAATGACGGTCTTAAATTCTGCATAAGCACCATCGATGCATGCTTCAATGGGCTACTTTGCTGCAGAACCATGAATATGTATGTGAAGAGGCAGACCAATGCAGCAATTGATCTAAGCAGAAAAACATCAGAGGCCAAAGTGCGGCTGTCACAGACGACTAAAGGACTTTACGACTGTGTCTCTTTCCAATATCCCTCTTGATGGGTATAACCTACAGAGAGTGTGGAGAAATCCAAAAGATTGGTCAATATTGTGCTTATCTGCAGAGTCAAAAAGACTCCTTCCAGAAGATGAAATTCTTGAGTTTATTGCACTTTGTCACATTACAAACAGAAACAACAAACAAAGAACTGCAAGAGCATGGGTATAAAGAAAGGCTTGATTCAGAAAAAGGGCGAAAGAATAGAATGTGTTTGTATCCAGTGCCTTCATAGACAACGCTTCATAGCACCACATTTATCTAACGTTACAATAACAGTTTTTTTGCAGTGTGCGTCTATCAGTTCTGCAAACCTATTTGTGTTTAAAACCGTTTGGGGGTAAATGTATTTTTATAAATAGTGAGAATTTAGTGAAAAGGCAAAGTCAATTATGTAAGATTTGAAATAAAAACAAATAGAAAACATGAAAATATCACTTTGAGTATAGAATTATCACCCCATCTACCTTGTTGCTGAAAATAAAATCTCAGATTTAAAAATCTATGACAGGTTATACACAATTTGAACCCTAAGTTTAATAACAACTACCTGAAAATAATGCTAAATAAATTTTGCCCCCTTCAGAAAAGTGCCAAAGTACTTCTTAGTACCTTCCTACCATAGTTTCTACTGACAGTTTCACACTAAAAATCTTTGGAGCATTGTGAGTTTTCAATTATAATTTGTTTAACTTTACTGCACGATTACTGCAAGACTATACACTGCAAAAACAAGTTAGAAATACGTAGACATTGCTTAAATTAAATGCATTAACCATCAATTTGAGCAGGCAAATAGGAAGGTTTTTTATTCTTACAATAAGATCCTATTAAGACAACATGCACTTGAAATAAGAACATGCATTTTGTTTTTTCTTATTTTAAATGTCAATTGTCTTTTTCCATTGGCTAAGTGTCTCCAATTCAAGAAAAATGCACTTATCTTAAGAAAACATTACTTATTTAGATTTAAATTTTTTCCAGCTTAGAAGTACACATAATACACACAAATACTCAGTGACAACAAACCCTATCAGGAAATGAAACTGAAGACATGCAACTCAAAGTCTGAATTGGTACATCGTACAGATGAAGAAAGAAATGGCATTTTATTGTAGATAAAGCACCAGCCTGGTAAACTCAGCATCTTCTCATGAAACCTTTCAGCCCTAATAAAGTTGTTTTTGTTCTCTCATGCGCTGATTTCCATTCCTTTCAGGGTTACTTTGATTGTTTGTGTTCACATATTAAAACAAACACAAAACCTCAGGCCCCAAGGACCATGGAAATAAAGTTTTGGCAGACGATAATTCAACTGGGAGAACTGGGGGGGAAACACATTATTTATTTTCCAGACTCATGTATGGATGATATATAAGCATTGACTTTGCTGTTAAAAATGTGGATGGAAAGTCATTCCAGCAGTCAGGGAGCCGGGAGGGGAGAAGAAAGGCTGTTTGCCGCAGGGACAACAAGCTGCTAGAAATTTGTAAATCAAATGAGTTGCTAAAATAGAGAATATTGTTTGTGCACTCACAAGGAATTCTGATTGCACATTATTACTGTGCCTGCTGTAAAACACAAGTTATCAAGGCCTTTTTATTTTAGTGACCCTCTAAAAGTATACATTAAGCACGCCTAATAAGA